GGTTGTTGGTCCCCATTTACAGCAGCCTCCAGGACTCACTGCAGCAGGCGTGGTGTGAAGCTCTAAGGTATTTATTTCTCCTTTCAGGGGAAGACCTTCTTCCCTCAAGACTGAGAGCCAAAAGAATGTCCTGACATTACCAGGAAACACTTTCTTCACTGCAGTTGATGCATTTGAGCCCAAATCAGCAGAGCACTTCAGCATATGCTTTACTGCGTAAAGCTAACCCTGCATGAAAGCTTGTCTGAACAAAAGCGACCTGTGGGGACAGAGCCACCTGTAAAACCCCACGCATCCAAAGTTAGGGGCCGCAGAGAAAAAAAAATCCTATGAATCAGGACTTCCAAACTCACCAGGGGTTAATCTATACAAATATGAAAAATCAAAAAATAAAGTCACAGGACAGGGAAACAGTTAAGACGACAGCATTTCTGAGAATTCACACATGCAAGGTCTTTCTCCAAAAGTGTGACATTTCTTTTACTGTATAATGACACCAGATCAAGCATTTGCAGTACATGGATGCTCTGCTTCCGTAGTGAATTGCGGAAACGAGCTATTAAAGTTGCCTCTATGTCTGATGGGGGGACCCCCCCACACACACTTAGATTAAGAATTAATTTCTAGATGGCAATTCCATGCAAAAAGTGATCATTTGTCTGAGCATGCTGGTGACTTTCACAAGTGACAACTGACATTTGTACAGCAGAACAATTAGCAGAGAGAGCAGCATTTCCCTTTTCCAGCTCGTCTACTTTGCACATTTGTATCTAGTTACTGTTGCTCTGCTATTGGCTTCCTCTGCTCTTTGGATTTGTTCCACAGCAACAAGAGAGAGGAACATCTTTGTGAAATAAAACAAATTGAGCGTTAAATCGACTGCTTTAAGACGAGGTATCTCATGATACCTTTAACTCTGCTCCATTTTTTTTTATTAATACATTTCAAGTTAATATGTCCCTTTAACTGCATACTACCTTGACAGTACAATGCTGGTTCCACTACATTAACATCAAAACACTAATGCGCCTTGAGAGGAGATTTCTACGCTGTAACTTTTGGAAAATTCTAAGATGGCAAAAAAGACAGCTCTGATATATCTGCAAGTCAGGTGCCACCTGAAGAGCTTTCTAGCCACAAACAAAAAAACCAAACTCAAAACCCAAATTAAAAAATCAAAAACCAAAAGAACAACCAGTACTTAGAAATATCTTGCTTTTGGATCTAATAATAGATCCAAAAATCCAGAATTTAGAACGTAAGGTCCAGTCTGTTATGTTGCTAACGGCACGTATCTTATGTCAAGCAGCAGTAGCAGAGGGATCAAATTCTACAGCTTGCTCCCAACGCCTCCCAGAGCTAGCTGCTACAGGCTGGACACGCTTCTGTGAAAGCTAAATTAAATTCACATTATCGGGAAAACATTAAGGTTGAAAAGAAAAAAAAAAACCAGTATCCCAAAGCCCTTTTCTTCCAGAGGAAGACCTTTACAGCAAGGGTCATTATCTGAGTGAGGAGAGAGGCCAAGTCACTCGGCCAAAGTCCTCTAAACACACCAGCAGCAAGGCTCAGGAGGGTGCGCATGTTTCTGAAGTCACACCCTTGTCCTTTACTAATTAAAGTCCCATTTCTTTGCAGGGAATGCCAGCTTTGGACACGCATACAGTTTGTGGATGGAAGTGCCTAATGCACACCGCTGGCATGGGGCTGCTGGGCTCCACGCAGTGCCGAGACAGCCTTCCTCCTCCCACCCAGGGTGGGATACAGCTACGCGAGGGCTGCCCCGCAAACAGGCATGCAGGACAGCACAACCACCTTGCAAACCACCACCCCAGCGATGCAAGCGAGACACAACACAACCAGCAGGCTTACTTGCTGGAATCCACTTCTGGCACTTCTCGCAGTAATAGGACATCTCCTCCATCCAGGACGCGTCACCTTCGTCGCTGTTCAGAGAGTCCCCGCTCTGGTCATGAGATAAATCCACCGAAGCCTGGTCCTCAGACTCAACAATCAGGAGGGTCTCCCCTTCCACCTCGCCCTCCTCCAGACCCTCTGAGGTGGAGGTCCTGGTGGCTTCGTCATCGTGGCGGCTCAGCAGCCCACTCATGTGAACATTATTAGCCATCCTAGATGGTGTTTGCGTAACAAGGAGCTAGTCTTCCCCACACTGACAAGTCCATCCACGCTGGATATGCTGGCCAAGTTTCCACAGCCGAAGTATCAATGACAGAGAAAATGTTTTGTGTCCGCCCTATAGCTTTTGGGACTGGATTATAACCTATACAAAAGAAACAGTCTTTCACAGATTACCTCTGTTATCTGAAACACTTGCAAGTAGTTCAATACCAATGATCTCCAAATGTCTTTAATCAAACCTCTAATGGCTCAGGCCTCTGCCTAGGACTGCTGGGACCTTTTTTCCATTAGCGCCTTGTCTCTTTCTTCCATAAGCTGCTTTGTCAAAGCAATCTGCTCTTCTAGCAGGCGAATATTCTCCTTTTTATGATTTTGACGCTCAAGATCTCTGAGAACTCCGCTGTGCAGCCTCTGAAAACACAAAGGGACAGGGTTTATCACAGCCTGTTGGATGCTGAATGCAACTAACCCCCACCCAGCTCTGATCCCTCCTGCAGGGCTGCTCACCCACCATGCTGCCTTTGCAAGTCCTCCGCCACCGCCTGCAGCCACAGCCACTTCACATGGTTTGAATCTAAAGCTGCAAGAGCTGTCGTCCAGTATCAATAAGCTAACGGTACTACACCAAAAAGCACTTTATTTGTACTCACTTCAGATGGGTGGGTTTTCTAAGCGGTAAAGCTATCAAGCAAATAAGTGCCATGCACCCGTAATTCCTGTGCCGTGTGGGATAGACATGATCTACAAAATCCTACTACCTCTGCCCTAAATCTTTACCAAATTGAACCAATCATCTCCCCCACGCTTCTCCTCTGCTTGGAGAGAATTTGGCAGCAAATTGGAAAAGATTTTAAGAAAAGCTGATGTGTCTTCATCTGCTTCTTTCTGCTCATGTCTTACTCTTAAAAAAAAATACCTTGTAAGGTCTGGCATTGAGGCTGACAGAAGTCCCACAGCCTACTTATACCAAGCTCCTGAAAAACCAAGGCACTTAATTCAAAACATATCCCCTTTACCTAAAATGTTTATTATAAATAAAATGTGCAACGCAGGTGGGTAAGCCCCTTAACGGGTGTAAAAAGCCCTAAGAAACTCACAGCTGGCTGTCGTTTCCTCCTTACTCTTCTCTCGCCCTCTCTCTCTGCTACCTGGAAGGGGTTTTTTTTCCACTCTGATATTTAGGTGAAATGTTTAACCTTCACCTCTCACCAGAGGAACACAAAATAAGCAAAACCAAAACTGGTGAAATGGATTGGGGTGGGGAAAAGGAGGGGCGGGCCAGCTGGGAACCAGCTGCTCTACTCCAGATGTGCACCTCTGGGGACAGGTAAGGCAGCAGGGCGACGCCAGCGGCGAGGGGTGATGAGATCAGACGCAGGATGGAGGAGATGGCGAGGCTGACGCTAACTCTGGAAGGAAACGGTGACCACGTGAAGCGCTTCAGTGGCTGTGCACGTGACGCACGGCTGAGATACAGCTCCCTGGCAACTTCAGCCGACCAAAGCCGGCGGTGCTGCCATCCTTCCACTGCTCGTCCCACCCAGGGTCAGACACTTCAGCCAGCAGAAAACAACTCTCCCCCTTTTTATTCCCTTTGCAAAGCAAGCCATGCTCTGCCGGTTTAACTCCCCGAGCTGGCGAACCAAGGGCAAGTGCCAGCGCAAAGGAGAACATGGGATGGCCGGTCCACTCTGGTGGTGTGGTGGGAACTCCTGGGGTGGGCGATATGCTTCTAGATAGTCACTTACTAGATTTCAAAGCAATAGCCACAAGGTTATGAGAAAACATGATACATGAGGACAAAAATATTACAAATTAGTAAACCCCTTGAAATTATTGTTGAGAGCCAACCCTGGCTCACATCTAAATCAAGCTGTGTGACCGCAGTTGTGTTTTAGCCCAACTGAAGATTAGAATCTTTAGTCGAAGTTAAGCTTAGTTAAAGCATTGTCCACCTGATTTACCAACTCATGCTCAGCTTGCACTCAGGAATGAGAAAGTTTCACAGGTACCAAGGTTAGCCATTAGATACTGGAGATACGAATAAATTATTTAGCCTAATGACAAAAAAAGATGAATAACTTATTTGACCTGTTTGAATGATGCCAAAATGCACCTGCAAATAATTTATTTGAAAGCTGACCCTGAAGTCATTTTACGAAGATGTTTGTGATTATTATTTGATAAGGTCTCACAGGGTTTTATTCTTCATCTAGAACACCAATAACTGCACATTTCAAAGGCAATTATTTCTCCTGTCAAGATTAAAATAGAAAGGTTTTGTTTAAGGAATGTTTTATCTTGTTAGGAGAATGCACAGACACATGTCAGCCAATAATCAAAACTCTCTCTGGAAACTGATCTAATAAAAACAGTTCTTCCCCACCGGCTTCAGTCAACTCAGGTTACAAATTAGTAATGGCTAAAGACAAAGTTCATAGACTGATTATTTCATTACTATTGGTTAATAAAAATAAAGAAAATATGTGGGGAGACACAATGTAATCAAACAATTACATCAAGAATGCGATTCTTTTTCCTTCACAAAACACAGTACTCCGCAACCTTTCAGGTGGTGAATGCGTTTACTCGGAAAATGCAGTTTGCAAGAGACACCTTTATAATCTGAGTATCACAAGTGACAAAGAGCTCTGAAAAAGTTAATCTTCTCACCTTCCGCTGTTCTCAGAAGTTAGGCCTGCTTGTCTTTGGCATCACTTTGATAAATGTGCGCAAGCTCAAATCACTTTGTGCCTGGTATATCAATTTATAAATGTCAAAAGTTTATTAATTCGCATAAAGTTGAAATAATCCCTACACTGGGCCTGCAGAATATCCACATTACTTATTTCCATTACGTTATCTAAACAACTGGGTTCCTTAAGCCTGCAACCATTATTCCCTGACTTGAAGATGAAGAATTATGAAGAGGAAATCTCAGATTCCACTTATAAAAAATAAGCCTTGAGCCTTAGCGCTTCTGAATAGTGAGTTAAACTGATTGCTGGAAAGAAAGAATTGATCATTTTGGCTTTGCCTCTGCAGCAGCATCCTGAGGAATGGCAATATCCCTGCAAACATACACAGATAAGCATCAAATCTGGCTTTTGGGGAGATCACTTCTAATTCTAGAGGACTGGCTTGCAAACCCATCCCGGTACGTGCAGGTCAGGCACCTCCAAAGTCATGAGTTCCCTAGGCAGAGTTCACCGGCTGTGCCCACGCCTGGGTGTTAGGATGGAGAGCAAAGAATAGACATGGGATCTGTCCCCCAACACCTCCAAAAGGTTTTGTCGCTGACCAACTGGATCCTTTGATGCCTCCATCTCTCGGACACTCAGCAAAACTGCCTCTCTGCTGACAGCCCTGATGCCGATACCCTCCACAGCCGTGGCTGCCTCCAGCGGTGGAAAAATAAGTTAAAACAGACCCACGGGGAGAAAGCGGCCCACTCACCCAGGAGACCTAGGATCTCCCCAGGCAGAAACCTGCAGCAGCAACCTCAGGCATAACAACCAAAGCAATCTAACACTGTTTTGCAAACCAAACAACAACGACAGCATAGAGCAAGAGGAGCAGGCAAAAGGCAGTAAGTCCCTATTTTCTTCCTGGTGTCGTTAGAAATCTATGCAGCAACCAGAGGGCATTAACCATAACAACTCGTTGGCCGACCCACCACTCCTTTTACTGGAGACATATCTCATACACCGGTAGAATGCACACCGTAAACGTGCAGTCGTGCCCTCAATTTACCCATGTTGTGCACATGAGCTGCAATGCGGTCCCCACGTGCCAGGGAACCGCTGTCTCGCTCAGAGCCCCGTGGATCCGGACCGGGTACTCGGTGTTTAGTTTCACATTCCTTGTTCAGCCTGTTGCCCGAGGCGTCACTTACTTCAGGACACAGAGATCCCGCTATGGTGGTGGCATTACTCATTTACCTGTGGACTGTTTTACGCAAGCTATCCCTACAGAATATGAACGTTTTGTAAACGTTAATTCATTTTCACAGTCTAAGGTCAAAAACTTCCATTAAGTTCAGGTGTCTCACCGAAATACCCAAGGGTGGTTTTTTTCAGAGCGCGTGTTGCCCTGCAGCATGTGCTCAAAGTACGGCTCCCGTTCGTTTCAGCCGCAGTTTAGGAGCATTTAGCACATATCCAGCCAGACCTCGGGTGGCTCAAGGCAGGCACACTGAATTAGCTAGCAACCACCTACAAAATCTGAGCTTAAGTCATCTACCCAGCACATAGGCCAGCTCTGGCAAACGCAGAGCCATTACCCATTGCCACTCCAGGAGAGCAGCCTTCCTCTTCTTGCTCCCGCCTCTGCCATTCAGCGTTTTCCAACCTCTGCAGCAAATCACCCTGACTCTGCCCTTACCCAGATCGGCCTCATCCTCGGAGACCCCCCATTCTCAGGCACCGACAGAGAAAATCTCTCGAGGGAAAAAAATGCAGTCCTGCCATTACGGACTGCATCGTAAAGCCCACGCGGCAGGCAGCTGAGCTGGGGTACGGGCTAGCAACCTGAACTCCAGCATTTTGTGACTTCCGACTGCTTCGGACCTTTGACAACAGCCATTTAACATTGGCTTTTTCTGTGTCTGCATTTTCTAAATTTTTTGGTAAATAAGGGGGGGGGAAAAATCAGATGTGGACCCTCACGTCCGTACCCGTTTGGCTCGTCAGCGGGGTGCACACTCATTGCCCAAACTTCTGCCGCATGCAACTTATCCATTCTGCAATCACCCGGCTTACAGTCCCGCGCAGGATTTTTTTGCGTGCAGGTTCGCCATCGCCTGACCTGACACTTTTGGCTGGGGGACCCTCTGGCACACGGGGTGCCTGCCAGGAATCACCTGATTTTTGTGAACGTAGCGCAGAAAGCTCCCCTGTTTAACGATGGCACGGTATTCCC